AGTTGATAATTATATGTGGCGAAACTATGGCACATTTGATTTTTCGAAACAGCAGAAACTGTTTCGTAAAATGTATTTCCAATGTTTGAATTCGAAAAATGTTGTTGACAGTCGTTTTGTAAAACATGTTTACGTATCGACAAGCAATTCAAATGATGTTATTGTAGTTTACATTAGCAATTACACACTGAATTGCTTCAGTATTGTTTGTCAAACTCGGTTTCTATTTTAGGAAACAAAGAGCATAGAAGAACAAAACCCACTATTTCGTCTCTCTCCCGTCGACAGTAGTAAAAATGAGGACAGTAGTTAAAGAGACACATGGACCAGCTATTTACAAATCCTTAATCGCACCACTGATAGTGATCTACCATGGAATTTGGCACAAGTGAAATATGAACGACAACAACATCTTTAAAAGCAACGGCTCTCGAATGATGAAAGTCCTGATACGATATTATTATTATATTAAAATAAATGATTATCTTCGTCAATGTTCATTTCCAGAGTTAGCGGCAATCATGATGCATGCACAAGCGGAAGAAACATTTGTTAGTACGTATTTTTTTGTTTTAGCTATTACAATCGTTCATAGAGCTATTGTTTATATATCTTTTGATGTTATGGTTTACACTGGCCTCAACATACTACTTGGTAAGCACTCTAACGGACCTAAGTCTTTCGTTCCATTTTTTTGTGAGACAATTCAGAAGTTCAATGAGTGTATTTTCTACTCTAGTAGAATAGTAGTTAAACTCTAGAAGAACCTATATAACAGAGCAAAAACGGGATATTTGCGTTTTCAACGATACGAAATGTATTTGAGCACTACATGTACTACTGTTCCATCATTAACATTCGCAAATCCTTAAGTTCTAAAATAAATAGTTTGAAATAAAATTTCATCTAAGTTTTCTGTATGGGATAAAACCGGTGTATACTAGAATTTTAGAATTCATGGAAGTATGGTATAGTATCGTTTTCCATTTCCGATAGCTCTCCGGAAGACGGAGATATTGGAAAACAAAGAAGACGCAAATAAGGTATTTATTTTTCTTACTCATCTATATTCGATATACCATACATTGAAATTTACCGAACCATCTTCGAAGAACAGATTTTTGGAGAAAATAAACTTACGAGACTTCCGAAATAAAACAAAAATGGCGTTGGCTTCTACTGTTAATCTCAGCACTCTTACCATGCTTCCAAATATCTAAGATTAGTCACAAAAAAGTATCATACGGTTTTGTAAAAAAATCAAACGGCTTCGCAAGTGTTAAAAACGCTTTTTTTAGTTTTTCATGTACTTGATAAACCATTTTCAATCTGGCAAGAAAGCTGAAAAGCGTTTTTCTGTGGAAAAACACGGTCATTAGAGTCAAAAAATATGACCACCACTCTCATCGTTATAATCTTAAGAATTTTTTTGTGCATGGTAGCCAAGATTAAAATCTCAACATGGATTGTTAAATGAAACTCAGCATTGACGCTTTCAGCTTGGGATTTTAGACAAGTCTAAAACTATTTGAGAACCTGGAAGCTGGGATCATGGAGCTCAAAAGTTGATTCGACTTCGTGTGGCTACCAGAGTCCGAACAGAATCATGAAAACCTGATTCGATTCGATTCAACATTTCTGGTATCATATGCGGTTGATTCGATTCGGCGAATCGAATTATTCAATTTGTTTTGAGCCCTGCTGTTATTGTTGAGACGACGATTGTCATTGGAAAACAACGATGGATGTTTTCGACAGCATAGAAAGAATGTCACTCTGATGTCGTGAAAATGATACCACCCGACTGGACGGACACCGTACAGCGCGTGTTTCGATCAAATAGTCGCACTACTTGGTGATGTTATCAAACGCACATTGTTTCCACTTTTTGCGCGCTTGTTCGAGTCAATTGGTGACTAGTCAAATATTTTTGTAAATAAATCTTACTCTGAATTGCAGACGATACAGTTAAGCTACAGATGTAGCGAGATCTAATCATATCATATCGAATATGTTCATTGTTTTTCAAGAAGTCAATTTCACAATACTATTTCAATTGAGAAACGAAACATCGTTTTTGTGCATGCAATCGGAGTTTGGATTAAGATTTTGTTTGTTCATTGAAAGATCATCAGTGATTATCTCGACTATGATTGCTTATGCGACAGCAGCTAGCATCTCATTGCGAAAGAGGCACTTTCAATCATACAGTCTTATAAAAAAGGATTTTTATTATTGTGGTTTGAAGCACAAAAAAACATACAAAAACCATATCACTGTCAATAAAAAGAACAAAATAGAATATCGAAAGAAAAGATCATTGATCAGTTTACAAAAGAGTTTCATCTAGTACGACAATATTTTGATCAAACATTTCATTATCATTATTGTCTACCATCACCAGTTCATCGGTCATCGCTACCTCGGTGTTGTCAGTAGTGTTAGTAACAGTAGGTACAATTGTTAAATGTGACGGTAACATAGGACCATAATAAAATTGTTTATTATATGCGATCAATTTTATAATTTCATCAAATGAAATATTTTTAAGAGATGTTGTCGTATCATTATCTCGATTAAAAATAATTATGTTAACACAAATAACTTCAGGTAAAAAAACTGGAATTGTAAAATGACATGAAATTGATGTATAATCAATAAATCGTGATGAAATTATTCTATCCTGAATATATTTTGGCTTACGATTAAAAAAATTACGTACACGACCATATTTGATATGACGCTTTTCACTATAACAGATCATCATTACAAAACAACAGAAGAAATAAGCAAACAAAAAGAACATACGCATAGTTTCTTGAAAGATTAAGCAAATGTTCATTTGGATCGAGTATTCGTGTGTCAAATGAAGGCTTGTAAATATTGTATGAAGCTAGAAAGAGAAAAAATAATCAAGAACATCGTTTCTACATAGTGTAGTTTCCAATGGAAAATTTTCCGGCAATAATCGCGTTTATTTTTTATTATGAGTTAAAAATTCCAATTTTTCATTCAAAAAAAGCGATTCTTAGTTGAAAATCCGATTAAAATTAAAAATAGATTAAAAATCTATTCATTTTCAATTGATATTAATCGATTATGTAAATTATAATCAATTAAAAGAGGAAGTTCAATCCATTATAATCGCTTACTATGATTCTCAATCGGTTTGAACCGATTATATAGATTTTAATCGTAGTTTTTCCGAAAAATTTTATTAGAATATATAAAATCTATCGAATCGATTGAAACTCGCAGTATAATCGATTGTGTTCGATGATGTAGATCTCAATCGGTTTTGTTTTTCGTAAAAAATTCAATTTCCATTCACAATGTCGATGATAATCAACTATAAAGCATATAGATTCTCAATCGATTATTATCGATCGCTTTTTGGATTCTTAATTAATTATAATGGATTAAATTGCATGGCTAATGGTAATATGATATATACAGATACGTCATTCTTGATCGGCATTGACTCTCTGCTCTCATTTGATAGCTGTATTTTGCTCTTGTGTACCATATAGCTGTTTTGAGTCCGATATGAACGAAAGATATTTTCCACATACTTTACGAGCAATCTATTAGATAAGAAAACCAAAAAAAAGCAGTGCCTATCGAAACTTCCAAACAAAGTACTTTTTCCATCGAATTCTCTGACTTCGATGAGAATGACGGACCAGTTTGTGTCAGGACTGATCTGAATAGCAGAATAACGGGTGCGGGATTAATAATGATACAGCCAATATTTCGTCAATATCTCGGTGAGTTTTCATTATATAGACTGGAGCGTAGTCTCAAAAGATTTTCTATTTAATTTTCTAGAAAACACTAAAGAAAAGGACACGCATAACAAATAACCGTGAATTCATCGGCTTCAATGAGCCCCATTATAAATTTTGTACAGTTATGACAAAGGTTTTCTTGCCAATTTTATTTTGCAAAGGTGCAGAAAAATGTTTTCTCGGTCATCTCTAACCAACCAACCAATTGGCGTACAGGCCTTCTTTTAACACCCATAGTGCATAAGAGGAAAATGCTCCCTGGTTCTAACTCGTTTTTCAAGGAAATCTGTCACAAGAAAGTCACTGTGTTGTCTAAGAGAGTCGTTTTGAGTGCTGTTAGAAAGAGCACGTCCGAAAACATGGAAAAATCAACATTAGAGTGCGTTCGCGTATGATTAGACATAAAAAAAAAAATAATT